CAGGTTTATAGCTGTTAAAATTGCCAGACTCTCAACTGGGTCAGCCTGAAAGTTCTAATTCTCTGCTGGACTATAACATTGCCAACGTATCTGGGTTTGTACCACGTTGGAGCTGAAAGCTAAAATGAATTTGTTTTTTGTTTACCAAATAATTTGTTTTGACTACCAAATTGAAAATACCCAAGAAAGATAACATTAAAAACTCAATAAAAATAATCAAGATACACAGTGTAAAAGTATGTAACTTCATAAGAAGGTTCTAATGCACGGTTTGTCCATTGTGAAAACATAATACTAGATTTGATAGTTTCAAAATCCATGGCGTGAAAATAAGTAATTTATTGTGAGTAATGTGGCAATGTTAAGTCATCTGCTGGCATTTAGAAGATATTTGAAACTTACATGTTAGATGATAATATGTATTTTATTGATGCAAAAATGCTAGTTTGTAGGGAAGCAGAAGATGAATTATTGTATTAAATGTTGTAGCATATTTCTACAGTCATGAGTCATGGAATTTATGAAGGATTAATACAATTTATTAAACATTACTTTTTTAAAAATCTTATTATAATTTTTTGACATGTTAGGAGTTTCTTGCCTGTTAAATTCAGTGTGTAGAACTAAACAATCTGATAAAATGGGCATACAAAATCTCTTAGCATTGATCCTTGCTTTGTTAGAACCCTATTACATTATAAAAAGAAACAAAGAACTTTTATAGATGTTGGAAGAAGCTTCAGTAATTTCAACAATTGGACCCGACTGATCTCCTAGAAGTTATCTATTCCAAAGAAAAATGTCTCATCTGTTATATCACTGCCAATAATATAATTAGTGTTTCTCTTAAAATATTGTCTTTTATCCAAAGAAGGATAAAATATGTCTTTTCATAGAACATCTACCCTAAGTGAAAATGAGCGATTCTTTTCCCTTCTTGTAACTTTTTCATCTTCCCTCAAAATCTGCTTTGGAAAATGGTCAATTTGTGCAAGATGCACAACAGCAAACTAGAAAAGCAAGTAGAAAGTTCTGTGGCAAGGTTAGGATTTCTTCTCATGTGAAATTGACATCCTTCTTAAATTAGAAGTAGTCTTCATATAGTGACCACAATTGAGACCAGTAACTCAGTTGTTAAGTGAAGCAATCGCTAAGCGAAACTGCAAGTATGCTCGTGATCTTTCAACTTTCCTTTGCTTAACAAACCTGTGAAGGTCATAAATCAAAGGACTGGGTGCACAGTTACTTTTTCATCGCAATTGTAATTGTGTAGGTTTGCTAAATGAGGCAATCACTAAACAAGAACTATCTATATCAGGGGTCCCCAACCTCCGGTCCGTCCATGGACCGGTACCGGGCCGCAGTATGCCAGTAATCGGGCCACACAAACAAGCAAAGCCCCATCCGCGGGATGCAGACAACACACAAAATCACACCCCCTCCAGTCCACAGAAAACCCTCTCTCCACAGAACTGGTCCCTGGTGCCCAAAAGGTTGGGGACCTCTGATCTATATCATTCTTTTGCCAACCAATGACACTATTGTCTATGTACATATAATTAGGAATGCCATTCAGGAAAGAAAACCTTTTCTATATTTGTGTATGTGTGTGTGTGAAAATCATTTCATATTTTGTCAATCTTGCACATAAGTAGTTTCCACGTAGTGCTGCTAGACGATCATAATTTGCTTCTCTCATTAAGATTGCTCTAAGAATAGATGAGGAGTAGCTGTGTTTGTGGTAGTGAAGGCCAGGTTTATTCTTCTGTTTAAATAGGTTGAATCCTTTATTCTAAGGTAGTGAAAGGAAAGCATATAAGTAACGATTGTATTCTGTGTTACAGAGGGCAATTTTGAAATTAATTGTGTGTGATGTAAAGTTATACAGTTAAGTCAGTTTTGTCTTTCTTATGCTTCTTTCCCAGTACCATGGGTTCCCGACACTCTTCCAGCTCCATTGTTTTCACCAGTGCCAGAAGTTCACCTAAAGAAGAGCTTCATTCTGCCACTTCCCCACAGTTAGCACCTTCTTTCTCCTCTTCTTCCTCCTCTTCTGGTCCTAGAACTTTCTACCCACGTCAGGGTGCTACTAGCAAGTACCTGATTGGATGGAAAAAACCTGAAGGGACAATAAACTCTGTGGGGTTTATGGATTCAAGAAAGTAAGAGCATTTTGGTTCTATTTTAATGGGTGTTTTAATGGGTGAAAAGGCCTCTTTGTATTTTTCTCATGGAAAACCTTTAAGAGGGTTAAAAGGAGTGGCAATTTAAACCAAATGAGGGGCTTTTTAGAAGAAAACCTCCCAAGAGATTTATTGTCTGCTTTTCATTGAAATACAACTCAAATCACTGAATTAAAACCATTTAATTAATTCAATGTACTTAGAAAATGTTCCTTCTCCTTAGTCACTCATTTCCTTATGGCAAGCATTTTTTTAATTATCTCAAAATACTAAAACACTCCAGTCAGTGTATATTATTATTCTTCCCTCACCCCATCCCACCCCTCCAATTTTAAAATCACATTGCAAAAGCTTTAAAAGGTAAGATCTCAGATTATCTTGAGAGGAATACTTTTCTACAGGATTTATTTTCCTCCTAAACTAAGTGAAATAAAAAATATTTTAAAACATGATTAGTTGGGCTCTATAAATCCTGGTTTGGATTGCCAGGAAGAAAAGGTATGTTGCCACCATTTATTCTTTCTATTCAGAAACCTTGGAACAGATGTAGAAATCATCTAATTTGTTCTAGGTTGTATAGAAATTAATAAAAGGGGAGAGGGGGGGAGACGCCAATGCTTTTTCCTCCAAACCACAACACAATTAGAACTACGGGGAGAGAATCTTTGACCTGGCCCATGTCAGAAATAGCGAATGGATATGTAAAGCCCTTTTTGTTAACATGAAGTAGAACTATCCTACTTAATGCTAATAATTCTTTGATTAAAATACAAAGGGTAAGACAAGCAAAGTAGATCAAAGCGTTGATGTCTGACAAGCAACTTTAAAAAAATATTCAAATGAGCTACATGTGTTACAGCAACATTCTCCCACTTACTCTTTTAGTTTTTATACAGAAAACTTGTTTTATGTCACAGTAGTGCAATTTTGTTTAAAGCCAAGTTTCTTACTGAAAAACTTAGATACATTTAATCAAAGCGATAAAAAAAATTAATCATAGATAGTTATCAAAAATATAGTTAAGAGGAAAGGAATAAATTTGATCTAGATAGAAGTGTGCATGAAAATCCTTTGTCTTTGAAACAAGGGGAAAAATCACTGTGTTCTGCCAGACTGTTTCAGATCACTGTTTGGCAAAACTGAAATCCATCTGGTTTAACAGTTTCTGACTTTTGGAGAAAACAAAATCCAGCCGATAAATATGATAAGGCTGGTGCACATCATCCCTTCTGTTCTTTTCTCTTCACTGCAATGTCACGAGTGTTGCATTTCGGCAAAACTTTCTCTCCAATTTTCCTGGCATTTCCTTCCTCCACTCAGGCACCACCCCTGCCACTACCTGTATTGCAGCCAAGCATATGCCATTGACCAACCTTTCAGCCCTCCCAGGTAATAACCCAAACAGGAAATACAACTAGATGAACTAATTCTACTTTATTATAAGCCTACATTAACAGAATCTTGCAAGTCTGAAACTACAATCTTCCTGCTGTCGCCTTTCAATGCGTAATACATTAGGGCGAGTCCTTCTTAAGTTTCATTCTCTGCTCACTAAGCCACTGGGAGCTCCAGCCTTTTTTGTCTGATTGTTTCCTAGGTAGTATCTCTTTCCCATTACATTGCCTGTCTCCTGCAGTTTCTTCCCAGCATCTTCCTCTCTCTGCTTCCTCTCAGCTGCTGATGCTTTTGGCTCCCCCCCCCCCTTCAAAAATCACTTTTGTTTGGATCTGCACATTTTATTCGGTGCACAGACCAAAACTCCCAAAACATGTCCAGTTAAGTTTGAGCATGAGCCCACTTCAAACCACTTCTTCCATACATGGAAGAATATGCATAGAGAGCAATTATGTACAGCCTCAGTTCTAAGTGGGCACAATAATACAGATGGTGTCTAAGTCCTGATTTCCAGGAAGCCTGTGGTTGGAATAATTACTTAAACTAGGGCCAGACATGAACAATGATGAGTGGTATAAAATAGGTAGCAAAAAAATTTCTGGCCAAGTGGTCTTTGGTATGTGTGCATATCATACATTTTCACTCTAGCATTGGAAAGACAAAAGACTGCAGGGTGAAAGGGACCATATTGTAGATAAGAATTTGTTGCGGGAAAATATGAGGAGATCCCTTTCTCTCTCTTTTCTATGCTATGCCCTTTAAGGACCATTTAAATGCGCCCCACCTTAAAATGGCAGGAAACTATCCATTGTTTTTCACAGTTGTGGGTACAGGGATTCCCAACAGCCACAGAAAGGGGACTTGAGAATCACAGAAAGCCTTGGAGCCACGCTAAATTTCAGTGTCCTTAAGTAGTAGTAGTAGTAGTAGTAGTAGTAGTAGTAGTAGTAGTAGTAATAATAATAATAATAATAATAATAATAATAATAATAATAATAATAATAATAATAATAATAATAATAATAATAATAAAGTTGGAAGGGACCTTGGAGGTCATCTAGTCCAACCCCCTGCTCAGGCAGGAGACCCTATACCATTTCGGACAAGTGGCTGTCCAGTGTTGAAGGTATTGTGAAAGCCTTCTGATTGATGGTGGCGAGACTAGGATTGCTGTCATTATCATGAGCTTATTTCTTGTAACATTAATCCTTGTTTATTTATTAATACTAAGTTATTAATAATAGTTATTAATACTAAATAAAACTCAGTTTTTCCAGCTGTCTAAAACAGTCACGTTCCATTTAAACTTTCTCTAAACCAACAGATGTAATAGAAGCATTTTGTTTCTTTGTTTGTGTGTTTTGTAAAGATGTGCTTCTTTTCTTTTTAAGGCGACATCAGAGTGATGGTAATGAAATGGCACATCCTAGGTTGCGTGCATCAGCCAGAGACCTTCGGGCCTCACCAAAGCGAGCGTCTAAATCAAACATTGAAGAAGAGTTGAAGAAGTTAATAGACCTGGACAGCCCAACACCCGACTCTCAGAAAAACTTTAAGGTATGGCTTTCAGAAGTATAAGATGGACTTGTGCTGAGAAATACATTCAAAGATAAGCTGGTAGTTCTGTAGTTCATTGGAGATATGGTTAAAATCGTAGATGAATTCACATACTCAGCAATATGAAATGTTATAAATGGTTTTCCAGATTTTGGGGCGGTTACATATATTAACTAAGTCTGCTCAGAACATGTCTTGGATTCTAGATTTTGGGGCGGTTACATATATTAACTAAGTCTGCTCAGAACACGTCTTGGATTCTATGGAAGTACTTAAAACAGTTGTAATGAATAGCACTTGAAGAAAATACCCAGATTTCTGAGATCTCTGCATTGAAAACCACTGGATTAACCCTTCGTGCTTGTCAGACTAAATGGTTTCCACAGCAACCATGCAAAGGAGGGCGCATGAAACTTCTTTCTTTGCTTGTCAAAATCCCAAACGGCTTATTAAAACTTGTAAGGATGAACAAGTGGGTACAGATCATTTTTCAATGTTGTCTTTAAAGCTGATGTGAAAAAAAAATTACTGTAAGCAAGGATTCCACCATCCCTCCCATGGTCTTTTTTTACTAGCTTTATGAATATTCCTTTCATGATTTATCAAACAAGTTGTTATTCTTCCATAAAATCCCTCTTAAGTTAAATGATTGATTATTGCAGTTACTGGCTGGTAAATGTCTGTTGTGAAATTTTTTATAATCAATATAATCCTCTCTATTTAGATGATAGATGATTGCCATTCCATTAAACAAATGCTCTGCCAAATGTATGACACAATTACTATTGCTAGCCTTTCTTTAAATATGCTTCCTCTTAATAAATAAGGATAAGTCCTTGGAAAAGGTTAGCTGTGCTCTGCAGAGCGTATTGGTTTTTTGTTTTTTTTTCATTTCCTTTTCCCCCTTTACCCTAATTTAGCTTTTACTCTTTCCCAAAAGGAAAATAGGGTGATAGTGGTCAAGTTTTAAAAAAAAAAAAAACTAGAGAAGTTTAATTGAGGCACTGGACAGGGTCTCCTCATCTTCTGTTGGCAGATTCTCTAGAAAAGGAGGAGGAAGAAAAATGACCAAGGAAGAAATATTTTTGCAGCTGACAAAAAAACTTTATGACGTTCCTTTACTCTCCCTATTTTTATGTTTTAACTCAGCCATATTTTAGTAGGTAAGAACTCTTATGACATGTTGTTCTAGAGTGTGTACAATATGATGAACTGATTGTCTACCAGATTCGGATATTTGCCCATTTTATTTTCGCTAAACACATATAGTGTCAACGCTGCAAATACTGTATATTCTTGCTTTGACAATATGCAGAACTGTCTGGTATTTTTTAGGGTTAATGCAGAGCAGAAGAGGGTGGGGGGAAAAGCGGGGGAAAGAAAGAGGAAGAAAACCTTTGACCTTCACATTAATTGGATAACGTGATATATGACAGCTAATTTAGGGAGGGAACATGCTGACAATTTAACTGCTCAGAGGAAATGAATCTCAGACCTTAGCATCAACTTCGTTGTGCCTGTGCCGACATTTTGTAACAATAAACTACTTTTAGGAAAATCAATGCCTGGAAGTTCTTTGAAGTGTTTCATTAGCCAGAACCATAACAACATGCTAAGGAAACGGGAAGTCTCAGAGTGTGTATACATACATACATACATACATACGTACATACATACATACATAGTTTTCATTTCTTTAAAACAAAATCTCTCCTTTCTTAGAAAATGCTGTTAGTTTATATTCCATCATATTTCAGTGCTTTCAGAACATTATTTGAAGACTATAAATAGATACTAGTTAAAAAGCGAAGCATATACTTTTGAATACATTTTCTAGTGGAAAATTATTTAGTGATTATCTGATTTTGAGGTTAATTCTTATTACAGACTTAATCAGTGGATGTCTAGGTAAGCGCACTTCCTAGTTATGAAACAATATTTGGAACTGATGATTGAGAAACTTTGGTAATGTACTCAGATATAAATGTTCACATCATTATGTAACATGCAAGGGCTAATTGCAAATACAGCAAATAGCAAGTTTTTAGTATATTTTAGGGGTCTTCCAAATCATGATATTTTGTACCAATAATGATCACTGTATTCTGTGGGATTTCGGTATACAGACCACACTGAAAACATTTGAATCATCACAATAAAAACAAATATTTTGAGGTCTATTTATGTATTTGTTTTTCCTATTGTAAAGAAATGACTGATAAGAAAGTATGGAGTAGTGCTATTCTAGCCATTATCTAAGGAATGTAGTACATTTTATTTATTTATTTATATTTTCTATTTCTTAATTGCCTATTTCCCTTACTGAGGGCCTCTGGGCAATGTACAATATAATCAATAAAATTAACATTAAATAGAATTAATTTTAAAATTAGAAAAATAAAATAAAATTTCAAAAGGTGAAAAACGCCAAGATGGGGAGTTAGCAGTTGTTAATAGAGGCAAGGGGCGTTCTCATGGGGCTAGCCACCCCCATAATTGTGTGGGCCTCTGTGCAAAGCCTCACAACCAAGTGCATAAAATATTTTAAGGCTTTGAATGAACTTATTCATACCCCTGTATGAACTTATTCAAGAATAGAACACAACTGAATTAAATAAATTAATAAGATTTAGGACCGGCTGAAATTATTTTGTATGCCACAGTGCATAAATACAACAATGAATGTTGTATTTCTGTACTTTTTCATCTTAAAAGTAAATCTCATTGAACTCAATACAACATTTTTAATATACATTCAGATTGTACATTTCTTTGAATTCAGTTCTAAAACGATGTGAAATGTGGGAACATGATAATAACTACCTTTCTTAGCTTGTTAAAGCAGCCACGTTTTTTCCCCTGGGATTGAATAGCTACCATGTGATCCCTGGAAAAGACAGATGTGCTTTAAAGAGTTATTGATACTATCTTTGCACCTTAGTGTAATTTTATTAAGAATTCTGATTTTAATGACAAAATCTAATGCAAACTAAACTTAGAAGAGAAGAGAAAGAAAGGATAAAAGTGCAAGGAGAAAGAAGAAGAAAGAAAGAAAAGAAAAAATGAAAAGAAAAAAGAAAAACTATGATAAAGAATGAGAAAAGAAATATGTAAAGAAGTGAAATATGTAAAGAAGTGACTTCCAACCTTCATCGCAACATGTATAAAGAAATTTAGTGACTCTTTACTCCCTCTAAGGCTACAAATAATTATCTCCTCATCCTCTAGCCCAGTGATGGCGAACCTTTTAGAGACCGAGTGCTCAAAAACTGGCCCCGCCCCCATTCTACCCCCTGTCCCACCCCTGCCCCGCTCCCACCCCATGCCCCACCCCACCTGCCTGCAGGGCCATTCACCGCCTCCAGGGCCCGCCGCAGATCACCCAGGCAGCCCAGCAGTGCCATGGCGGTCACACGCTCTGCCCGCCCCCCGCAGCATCAACTGTGCGTGATGGGGCATGAGAGCAGAGTCTTGTCTACGCTGCCTGGCTGCCATGTCCTTGGCTGCGCTGCTTCACGTGGGCCACACTCGGGGGTGACTCTCCTTCAGGGGGGCTGCTGGTGAGGAGAGGGTTGCGGGGGAGGCGAGGCTGGGGCAACGGCATGTGTGCCCACAGAGAGGGTTTGCCACCACTGCTCTAGCCCATCCTTTATCTATAGACAAATTATATAGAATCATCTTTTCAGTCCTGGTGTCAGCAGAAAGTCCATAAAACATTGCCAGGAGTAACAACAGAGATTGTTTTAACCTTGTTCAAATATACCAACTTTATATCCCTTCTTTTTACTTCTAACAGTCTTAATCGTAGGATTTGATTTCTCTTCATTTCTCCTTTGTTCTTTGACCCTCAGCCCTCTTCAAGGCTTTAACAAGCCTTTTTTTTTGTAAATCCAATATGAAAACAAATGTCCAGGTCCTTCTCTTAGTTTATCATTTCTATTTTCCTTTTGAATTTTAGGACATCAGCCAATTTCTTTTATAGATCAGTGAAATATACCTTTCCAAGTCATTCTCTTGGCCTGTCAATTGTAAATCTGACTTTGATACCTGTACATCTGTAATTTATTCAGTAATATCTTTGTTACATAAACTGCCAATATAAACAGGCATCATTACTGACATTGTTGATAGTGTGGCTATTACTTTCTAATGCTTTTCTTCAAAAGTGTCTTTCAGTATTTTCATTATTACAATGTTTTTTGTTTTATAAGCTTGCATTTTTTCCTCTACCTAAATCTTTAGTCCCGTCTAGGGTAAAGTTTTTAAATCATGACATTGCTTATTTCTGCATTCATTTCTTCAAAAAAGCACCTACAGCACATCTATTTCCTACAAGAAGTTGTTCTTTATAATTAATTCCAAAGTCTTATTGTAAGTTTTAGTATTCCAAATTTATCTGGACTCTTAGCCTGTATGTAACTTTCTAAGAACAAAATATTGTTTAGCTTCCTCTGTTTATTTCAATTTTTTTTAAAGTTTTTAAGCTAATAATTAATTTTTCTTTTGTTCAGAGTTGAAGATAAACCCATCCAATAAAGACTTTTCAAACGTGACATTCTGAAGGTCCCTAACAGTTTTAAAATGGTTAATAGACAATGTCTAAAAATGATTAGAAAGTGAAATTTGTGAACCCAGTGTCCTTTAAAAGTTTGTGCTACAGATACAAGCAAGATGGCTAATTCCTTCATCTTCTGGTGTTCACACCTGAGGAAAAGGGTTGTCGTGCATTCTTGTCTCAAGGAGCAGCCATCTGACACACGTGGATGATTCCCCGCGCTCTCCTTGTCTGGAGCGGTTCCAAGGAACCAATCTACTCACTAGTTCCTTGATCTTTGCTGTGGTTGTTGGCTCCACTTTCACTGAGCGATGTTCAGTTCATCATACCTCCTCCAGAAGTGATATTTATCATTAACTTCTGATAAAAAATTAATGATAAAAAAATCAAGTCAAATAAATAACACTATAATCCTAAGGAAGCTAAATAAGGAAAATATCTCAAAACTTACACGCACCTAAGCATGTCTACAGCTTAGGCCAGCGGCAGGCAACCTTGGCTTAGGCTGAAAGAGTTGTCATAGCATACCCAAATCATTGGAGTTTGACGAAAAAGACAGTTCAACTCATTAATTTGATTGTGTGGTCACAATTTAATTAAACTTAATTTTGAAACTGAAGGGCCAGCTTTTGCTGCACTATCATATAATGCTACCTTTTTTTATTTAAAAAAATGAGATAATTACCAGAATGAATTGTTATTATCTCACAGTGTACTCTCACGGACAGAACATTGTCAGGTAAAGGAAGTGGAAGCTGTGTCAGCATTTAGGTGCAGAGATACCCAATTAATTGTTGTTGTTTTTTAAATGTCAGACTTATCCAACAGGTATCGTTGCACAAGCATAAACCTGTTTCCACGAAGGGAGTGTCCTACCATTTATGGATTTTGAGGCTTCTAAAATGCTTCTAGTTTGGGAAATGCCATACAATAATAAAGCGCTCTCTTTTATTTATGCAGCCCCGGTTAGCTTTCAGGAGATTAGGATACCATATTGTTCTCAGCATGAGAATAGCCCTAAAAAACCGCAGTTTTACACTTTTCCAATACGTTGGTAAGAGACTTTTCTAGACTTTTTCTACAGCACAGGATAACAAGAATGCTCTCAGCAAGCGTTTAAGATTAACTGCGCCCCTAGAAATCATCTGAACCCAACCCATGATACCAAACATATTAAAGAGTGGCTCATGTTTAAAGGGAGGGTTGCGCATTCTTGACTGGTGTTCTTCTTCTTTCAGTCTTCATTCCCTAGCACTCCTATTTCAAGGCGTGCCTTGCAGCGAACTCTGTCAGACGAGAGTATTTATAGCAGTCAAAGAGAACATTTCTTCCCCTCACGAGCGTCTCTTCTGGACCAAGTTCTTCCAAACGATGTTCTTTTCACCAGTACGTACCCTTCTCTCCCCAAGTCATTACCACTAAGGAGGCCATCATACACATTGGGAATGAAATCCTTACATGGTAAGTGAAATGCTGCATCTAAACTAACTATGTATGTTTTCATTCTTGTTTACATAATTATTGTTATTATTGGTTGCTGCCCTTTATTTGTAATACTGAAGGTGGTGTACATAATGCTTCAGCATCCTATTTTCCCACAGCCACTCTGAGAGGTGGGTTGAACTGAAAGAAAGTGACTAGCCTATTGGCTTTCATGCCTAAGGTTAAGTCAGTATTTGTAAGCTGCATTTATATTTATGGGCAATCCAATTGGCATTTTTGTTCATTGCTTGTATAACTTTGGGATGTAGAATAGTGTGGTCTACTGAGTTCCCTTTAATTGTTAACATTTCTACTAATTTGGAATATTGAATACACTTTTTCAAAGGAATG